CCTTATTTTTTCAGTAAAGTCAAAGGCAAGCTGATCTGCCGAGAGTGTAGGAAAATGGTGCATAGGAGTGTTTTACTTAGCCCGTATTAATTTCGCTAATGTTATTCTTTTTTTTTTTTGACCCATTTTAAAAGCATCATCTCCTCCCAGTTTCCCCAACTTGCTAGAAAGAACCAGATGCCCTTTTCCTTAACCTTAGGTCATCCTTTGTATGTCATTCTTAAAGCACTTGTCACACAGACACTATTAAAATCATCCGTTTATGTCTTTTACTCAATTGTAAAAACCTTGAGCTTCAGATCAGGGACCATGTCTCAGACCTCTTTCAATCCCCAAGGTTAGTACAGTGACTGATGTACTTTTTAAATAAACTAAACTGTATTTCTGAAGCCTTTATAAAAGGGATAAATGAAAAGATTGAAAGAGAGTAGTTGAAATAAAAGAAGAATTTTCAGGTGAAATGTAGGCATCTGGGAGCCCCTTTTCCCAACATTCCAATAAAAGAAGCATTAAAATAAACAGAATACAAGACAGAAATAAAGAGATGAATACTATTAAAGGATAGTTGAGAAATATAAAGTCTAGAATGACAGACACAATGTACTGCTATTAGAAGTTCCAGAAAAATAAAATAGAGAGAATGACCTAGAAGCAGTATATAAAGGAAAAAATAGCTGATTATTTTTTTCAAAATCAGAGAAATAAACATGAATATTTAGATTGAAAGTACCCACTAAGTGCCAGGACAAACAAACAAACAACAAAAAGAAATTCATCCATAAATACATTGGATTAAAACTATAGAAAATTAAAAATAAAAGAAACCTAAAAGCCCACTAGAAAGAAAAAACCAGTTTCCTTAATAAGAACAGCAATTAGGCTGAGCTGAGATTATTCAGCAACAACAATTGATACCAAAAGGTAATGAATTAATATCTTTATAGGGCTGAGTACTGTGTTTGTCTAAAAATAATAAAATTGATTAAAAAACACTAATTTTTGTGTTTTAAAAATAATGGAATTAAATTCTAGACAAGCAATTACAAGAACTTTTTTCAGGGAAAAAGTTCAGTGGGTAGTTAAAACATGCTAAGCTCTTTGCCATAGGCAATAAGGTGACAGAAATACTGAATAACTGCAAACAGAGAGAAAAAAAAATCTATGGTTGAATGCACATGTTAAAACCTTATTAGTGGTTACCATTAAAAGAATAGGTTAAAAACCAAAACATCCAAAATAGCAGAAGAAAAAGAGNTATAATAGATTATGTGTTAATAAAATAACAAAGAACAGATTGACCAAGAAAATGGAAAAAAGTTATCATAATCACTACTGTGTTATCATTAATACTATTCAACAGAGATTTATTTACTGTTTTCTATGTAACAGGCACTAGGTTGGATGAGAAGCAAAAAGGTGCATAAAGTGCATCTCTGCCTCATAAGGACCCCCAATCTAGATGATGAGGTAGGATAGATACATAAAATGATCCACTATAATAATCAAGTATGCCTGCTATTCCAGCTTAATTATTAATAGTGTCCCCTATGCTCCAAAAATACCTGCACTTGAACAATACATTATATGGTTAATAATTATATTTAACTTTAGTTAAAAATGCAAGGTGCCTATCAAAGCCAAGTAAGTAGCATGAATATTTTAGAGGTGGGATAATTGGTGGCAGACTTATAAAATGACTAGAACAGACTGGCTCATTGTTTGGTCATAAAAGATACATCCTCTTTCGGAATGAACCTTATTTTTTCAGTAAAGTCAAAGGCAAGCTGATCTGCCGAGAGTGTAGGAAAATGGTGC